TGCCACTACGCTGATGTGACCCTTCGGCCGTTGGATTACTGACACGTGTCCTCTCATCGCATTTATTGCTGCTATAAATAGCAGCCCATTTCTCCTTGTAATACAGATAATCTACATCTCAACTCCACATCTCGAGTTCATTTAATAAAATCGACTCTCTCTCCTCCTATTTTGCTCTGACTTCTCTCTAGTTATTTCCGCAATAACCCCTCGGATAAGATACCCGATACCCCCCGGGTAGATTGTCCATCACTTACCTTTTCTTATTATTACAGAATTTAGCCCGCATAATCAAATGTAACTGTTTGATAGAAAAGTTGATTGATAAACTTATCAAGCTGAAAAACATGCTCACCAAACGGGCTCATAATGTAAATGAAAGTTTTCATTTGTTAATATAAATCTATTCCACAATCAATTTGATACAATTGACAGAAACGATGTCTTAATAGACATCATAATGATAAGAACTGTTATTTATCCAGCTTAATGATTAAGTCAGTTATTACTTGGACTGAAATTTGTTGCTCTACTCTAAACTGATCTGGTAAATGTCTGGTCTCTGTGTATTTTATAACTATTCAAGTCTGGTTTGACCTAAACTACTCTAATTTAGTCTGATCTGGTGTGATCTGGTCTGGGACTGAAAATAATGAAAGTAAAAATATCTTATTTCGTAAATGATAAATAATGTTTTCAATAAAGTTATAAGTAAATACTAATATGATTTAATGATCACGTGATTAAGTCGAAAGTAAATGGTTCCAAATGAGTAAATGACTAATACTATGGGAGTATATGCGTATAACTTAGCAAGCCAGTAGCCACCTAGCAAGGAACATGGTGGATACCGATCCGCAGCAATGTTTAATGTCGAGCGGGGCGGGTACATTTGAACAACTCCAGATTTGACCTTTTTTTTTTTTTTATTTCAAAAAAAAAAGTTCAAATCTGGAGTTGTTCAAATGTACCCGCCCCGCTCGACATTTCTGCAGTCTGCAGATAAATGATACATCACTCTCAAATGAGCTGGTCCGGGGATGTCTCGGTTTCTCGTGTATTTCAAAGGCAATGGATAAAAGTACGGCATAAAAAGTTATTATAAATACAAATAAAAGGAACAAGTCATTTGTACACACATAAATGATTAGTACACATAATTTGTTACACACATAGTAGTTGGCTGTATACATATACAGTTCGATCAGAAGCTATTGTGTATACAGGCAACCAGTGGCGGAGCCAGAGGTTTGTCCAAGGAAGGGCAAACTGAAGACTAAAAATTTTAAAGTGCGTGTCCAAAATATAATAAAAACAACAATAGCGTAATAAATTAGCAAAAAAATTATAGTTCATTACATACTACTTGATTTACTTCTGCAACGTAGGCAAATCAATCCTACGAGTTTTCATATTTTGAAAATGCTGCATAATAACTTCATTATCAATTGCTTGAAAAATGTCTCTTTCGATGTAGCATACTAAACAATTCGTAAGATAGTCATCTCACATCTTATTGCGAAGATCTGTCTTGATAATATTCATCACTGAGAAAGCTCTTTCAACTGTGGCTGTTGCAACCGGTAACACTAGAGCCAACTCAATAAGACGATTGACCAAGTGAAAAGATTTGTGAATTGTAAGCTCAACCATCTTCTTAGACACTTCACCAATACTTTGTAAAGTGGAAAATGCTTCATTCCCTCTCATCTCATATATCCAAACTTGGAGTTGTTCTTTAAGCTCCATTTGCTCAACAGCTGAAAAATCAGATGAATACAACTCTGCAAGACTGAGGAGCCTTCTTCCAGTTACGGAATCCGGTCCTCAAAACACATCATCACCAAATCTCTTTCCTTCCTGCCCATGAAAAAGGTAACACCAAAAACAGAAAGCGGCATCTTCAGAAATACTATATTCCAACCATTCTCAAGTTTTAAACCACTCTCCTCGAAAGCTCCTTAATGCCAAATTCAGTTCGTGGAAACTTATGAGATGCTGGTTGACAAGCACCTTTAACAACATATGCTCTCATCACATCATCCCTAACCCTCGGCGCATATTCATTAATTGGTTTTCGTAAAAATGGATCACTAATAATATCCCATTCATGTGTACTTTCTGTTCGGGCTCTGTTGTCCCTCTCATTCCTCTCATCTCTAGCAATATTTTCATTTGACCCAGTGGCATTTCCAACACCGGAGATAGACTGATTAGGAACAATTGAAGAATTAACACTTCATCTTAAAATAACCTTAAGTTGTACTTAATGTTTTTAAAAAAAGAAGCCGGGGCAAGAAACATATTATAAGTAATACTAGTAAAAAAATTGGTCGGAGCGGGGGCGCTTGCCCCCCCTTGCCCCCCCCCCCCCTAGCTCCTCCACTGCAGGCAACTAAACAATGCATACAATAAATGTGTACAAATTATGTGTACAAACAGCACCTCTTCACTAAATAAAATCACAACATATATTTGTGAATGGGATGTATGAAGATGCATATATATGTCCAGGAAAAATAAGTGCAATTTTTTGCTTATTATGTTGTTTGACTTGTTTCTTATCTTATTAATGACATGACGTGTTAGATTATTTCAAAGATTAACATTGAAGAAATTAAAATAGATTATTTAGGAGACTAATTTAAAAAGAAAATCCGATATCAAAATTCAAATCCCGGATTATTGTGGATTATAGTTAAAATTCATTTAATGCATGTCATAGAAAAGTTGACCTTATGAATATTTGATGAACAATTTTAACTTTGAGATTGTTCAAAATTTCATGTGTAAGAATCATATGATAATTATGTGTACTAGAAAACCATTTACTTGGATATTATGAACTTAGCACTATGGTAGCTTAATCAACGATGAGTCATCCGAAAGCTTTTGCTCTTTCCCTTAACTCTAAGGTAATTCATAGACTCAGCAATCAGCTCAAACCTTTTTCTGCTTCTAGCCTTATTTATTTTTGAATTCACCTTTGACCTTATCTGATAAATCAGCTCAAACCTTCGTATGGAGTAATCAAAAATTAGTTTAATCATATCTACTCTCTCGTTCCAAAATGGGGTTTAATGCACCAAACCACCCTGTGATTTGGAAATTCGGCGCATTAGCCCCCTGTGATTTAAAAAATGTGTCAAACCCCCCTGTGTTTTAATTAATCATGCACAGAACCCCCTTTATGAATAAATTTAACGATTTGAAAATCACTTTTCGTAATATTTTGATTGAATATGCAAATAAATATGTCAAAATCTCTGAATCATACAAAAATGTTTATCATTTTTCTTTTATTTGACAATTGAATTTGTTCACATAAGGGATTTGGCGCATGATTAATTAAAACACAGGGGGGTTTGACGCATTTTTTAAATCACAGGGGGCCAATGCGCCGAATTTCCAAATCACAAGGGGGTTTGGTGCATTAAACCCTTCCAAAATGTGTGAAAATGTGTGATTGTGATTGAATAAGAAAAAAATAAATAAATGTTAGTCATACAAAATTTTCCAAAATATTTGGAAGAACTATTTCAAACGTCCCAAAGAGATACTCCGTAAGTGAAAAGAATTAACTAATTATTGCTAAAAAGAATTAATTTGACTTTTTTATGTTTTTTCTAATAATAATTCAAATCGAAAGTATAATTCAAATTTAATTCTTCAAAATTCCATTAAATTCATTCGACACTAGTGTTATGTAACAGACTTTTGTATTTTCCTTGGCAATAATGACACAAAAAAACATATGGCTAAAAAAGGTTTGAGAGATTGAGACCGGTTTACTTCTTAATCATTGTAAAATATTTAATTAATGAAATGGTTTTGTTTCAAACGTCGAATATTCAAAACACAAATATAAATAATTTATTTAAAGATCCAATCATTTGAAACATTAAAACTCAAACTCAATTAATTGAACATTCAATTGAATAAAAGAATATTTAAATTTTAAATAATAAATACTCCGTAAAATATAACAACCTTATTACGGAATACGGAATACTCCGATACATCAATACGGAGTATTCACCGATACACATCATCAGAAGATGTTCACTCAAGTCATTCAAAACGTAAAAAACGCAATGAGTTTGCAAGTATTGACAAAAAATCATCATTATGTTTTAGATCATACCATATGCACACATTGTTCAGAATTATCTGTATTTACACAAGTGACGAGTGAACACAGAAGGGCGGTGTTCACCAAGCATTTTCTAATTCGTAATAAATAATTACAAAGTTTGGAGATAGTAAATATACAAACCACTACAAATTATCTGAGTTATTTTATACTCCATAAATTTTTTCTGCTGAGATAAAGCTTAATTGATTTATAAAGAATGAATTTAATGTATACACGCTTATTTACGATATTCACACACGGCCCACTAAAATAAAAGGCCCAATTTTTTAATAATATTTCTTTCATCCTTTATAATTTTTCATTTTTTTTCTTTATTGACTGTCCCATAAATGTTAATACATTTTTAATCAATAAATTTGTGATTCATATTATTTCTCTCCCTTCTGCATAAAGCTCAAACACACAATTTTTTTATTATCTATTTTAGAGTTTTTGTTGTTTTAATATGCAATTGAGATGATTATTAAAAACCCCCAAATAATGACAATGAAAGCTTGGTAAATGATTTTGCATCTAAATATGCTAGATGAATATCTCTTTTAATTTGATTATAGTTTGTTACTGTGTAGTTTTATTCAGGCTATTTAATTAGTTTTATCAACTAATAAATTGTATCATGATATATGTTACGTAGTAATAGTCTTTTTACTGTTTATAAGGGCATGCATTATTTTGTTGCACAAGGCCCCAACTTCTTGGGGCCGGCCTTGTTGGCCAAGAGAAATGCGTTGTGTACACAGCGTTTTACACGCTCGTGTACACAGCATATATACCCCTCCGTTTTTTTACCTTCCCCCCTTCATCCTTTTACCCGTCTCCCACCCCACCCACAATTCCCCTCTTTCTTCTCTTCCGTAACCTAACGCACAGTCCAACCCTCTCTCTTCTTCCTCTAGCCTCTTCTTCCTCTCGCCTCTTAGCCTGCTGGATTTCTTCTCTTCTTCGCTTTTTAATTTATTGATAGTGAAACAATGGACTTTGCTAACATTTTTTGGGGTGCACCAACTCCATTTTCAAATTCAAAGGCGAATCTTCAATTCAAACTCGAGCTCTTAGATCCCATTTATTTCTTCTTCTTCTTTTCTTCTTCATTTGCAGTTCATCTTTAAAATTTCTACTCAACTTCGAACTCCCTTTCAAGCATCATCATGGAAATTTTTTTGTCTCAAAACTTTGATTATTAGGGTCTATGTTAACAATCGACTCATTTTTTATGTTCATAATGGATTAGTTTGTGATGTAAATATTGAAATTTGTTCCTTTGATATAGGTTTGTGATGTTAATATTGAAATTTTAGTTGAACTAGTTTCTTTATGTTTATGCCCATTATATGTTTGTTAAAATGCCCATTACGATAAAATGGATGGAAATTATGGGTGTGTAGAACTCCATAAAAGATTTTGGGTTGATAAATCTTGATAAATTTGATTTGCAGAACTCCACCAAAAAAACAGGTTTTGATTGCTAAATTTTGTGCCCCTGTTTTTGGTGAAGAATCTGCACGGGCAGCCTCCAGTCCCCCTTTTAGTGTTGTTATTCCTTTAGTAACTGATAAAATTGCAGAAAGCCATGTAGTTTTGCCTTTGGTTACAACTTATTGTGCTTATTCCCAAAGCACAAACCTGATTGTGCATTCTATTCCCTTGCAAACTGAAGCCCCTGTAAGAACTGATACTATTGCACAAAGCCAGGTTGTGTTGCCTTTGTTTACGGCAGGCTGATATTTGCTGCAAGCAAGGCTGTTTCAGACCCTATTTTGCATTATAATGATTACCAATGTGCTGCCCCAGCTGCGAACCTTAATGTGCCTCATAAACAAGAGGACAACCAGGTTTCCCATGTTGAAATTCATGTTATTAACTCTGAATGCGCAGCTTTACTTGTACAAACCCCAGTCCCCTCCCTTACTAACCCTTGGTTGATTCCCCCCCCCCCCCCCCCCATCTGATATGCATGGAATTGAAGTTCAATCTGATAGCTTTGATACTCATTCTGCCCCTTTGGATACTGGTTTTATAGTCACTAATGCTGGTTGTGATTATGTTCATCTTTCTAGTATTACAACCATAGATGGGGCAAATGTCCCTACAAAATATACTATCCCAGTCCCTTATGATTCTGATTTAGGAGCAAGTCCCAGCTGCCTGACCATTTTGGAAACTACGGTTGACTCTAATGGACCCCTGGTGGCTACCTCTTAAAGGGCAGTGACCGTTGGTGTAGTTGATCAGATTATGCTGATGCCCACTGATGCTCAAGTGTATGAAGCAATTGATGCTCCCACAGAACACAACATAATGAATGGAGATGATGAATTTAATTCTGATCCACCGGGACTTGATACTACACTAACCACAAATTTGTCCAATGATGAATCTCAATCTGAGGACCACACTATTTTTTAATATTTCCCCAATTACAGGAAAATTGGCAAGCAGGGAGGAAAGCTCTTACGGTTTAGTGCAGGTCCAAAACAGGAAATCAAAGAGCAGTGCCTATAAATCAATTCGAGATGGTCACAAGAACCCTAGAGATGAAACCGACTACTTCCTATACCCGGTAGACGCGAGATTCGACTCACCACACAAACTGGCTGCAGTTCTCAAGAATCATAAATATACCACCTGGTGGCTAAAACATATGAACCATATTTGCATAAGGCGATTAGGTTCCACAACAAATTCAACAATAGTTTTTCAGCTACACTTTGAATTCCAACAAGAAATTTCAAATGCTAGTGCATCTTTATTTTATATGTACCTTTTCATTGAACCATGCATCTGTAAAACTCTTGTATCTTTAAACTTTAAGAATTGAAGTGTTCCCCGACACTACCCCCACTTAGAGTGGTTTGCTCCGGGACCCAAAAAAAATATAAATGTGTAGAAAATGTTGTAATGCTATTTCTTATGTTTGCTTCCCCTTTTAAGAAATTGTGAAAACACAGACATTTATATCACAGACAAACAAAATAAATGAATACACAGACAACGGTTATTATCTATGCACAGACAAAGTAAACGAATAATACACAATGTTTTAATCATGCACACACAATATAAATAAAGACATACGATGTTTTGACTGTTGGAAAAAGTGAGTTAAAATTGCATTAAATGGTCATTTTGGGGCAATTTTTTGAGTGGGGTCCACTTCCGATTTGGGTCGGGTCAAGGTGGTTTCGGATTTTTCTTGCTTAGGGCTACAATTCGATATATGGTACGCTCAAAACGGATAACGGGTGAATGAGAAATCGCTTTTCGAAGTTTACCCGTTGGAATGGAGAAAACTAGGAAAAAGTGAGTTTTTGGTATGGGTTTTCCCCACACCGAAAATCACAAGGGAATTTGAACCCTTTATAAAGGGAATGTCACGCCCCAGACCGCAATCCAAGCGCGTGTACAACCGCCGTATAATCAAGTGACGTCACCCGCGAGTCAACCTCACTTAATTACACAAGGCGTTCGAGAATATAATCCATCCATACTCAGTAGTAAACATACATAACAACATCACATTTAAACCAATGAATAGCGGAAATATTCAACGGTAAGTCATAAGCCACAATCGGCCAACAACATGGGCATGCAAGCCCCAAAAATAGTTTATAGTAGAACAAATATCCATGAGCATGTGTTCGGTAGTTTGAAAGAAAATAAGGAAGCACGAACCACGTCTCCCTGAAGTTGATATCACCCGTAAGAAGGTGCAGGTAACAAGCCCTAGCTTCAACCTGAAAATGGTGGGGCCCCCCGAAGGGGTCAGTACAAGTACCGAGCGAGTAGCAGGCTAAATATAGAATAACTAGTGTTTCAAGTATAAGACCCAAACATAGGGTGATACTTATATAAATAGTCATTTCCCCCAAGTTATGAAATACTCATTAGTATATATATACTTGGAAAATACCCGATCCGTAGATCACCGTTTTATTTGGGAAAATAGTAATAGTCAATATCCTTGACTAAAAAACCCCAACCCACCCATATACCTATGAGTGTATAGGACTCCTCCTTGTCCCTATTTCAATATCATAATCTATGAGCGTTAAGTACTTTTAAGTACTGGGGTCCTCCACCAAATTTTGAGTGTTAAGTACTTTTAAGTACTAGGGTCCTCCACCAAGTTTTGAGTGTTAAGTACTTTTAAGTACTAGGGTCCTCCACCAATTTATTATCCGAGTGTTAAGGACTTTAAGCCCCAGGGTCCTCCACCAATTTACATTCCGAGTGTTAAGGACTTTAAGTCCTAGGGTCCTCCACCAATTTATAATCCGAGTGTTAAGGACTTTAAGCCCCAGGGTCCTCCACCAAGTTTTTGAGTGTTAAGTACTTTTAAGTACTAGGGTCCTCCACCAAGTTTTGAGTGTTAAGCACTTTTAAGTACTAGGGTCCTCCACCAAATTTTGAGTGTTAAGTACTTTTAAGTACTAGGGTCCTCCACCAAAATATTTTCCTATGATCAACCTCCTATCAACCTAGATAGAGTCTATATCATACTTAGTTACTCATAACTAATTCAATACATAAAGCTTATGTATCACAATCCATGCAAAGCCATGCAATTATATAAATGTATAATTAACTAATATCAACCGATATTAATTAATCCATTATCCATCGTCCATCGATTCAAGCCTTGTACATATCAACTTAATCATCATATAATTAAGTTAATAATACTCATTTGTGCTTCTTTTACACTTCAAGCTAATATGCATTTTATATAATTCCTCATATCATATTTCATGCATAAACAATTAATTCTTTTCATACAACTTAATCATGTTGGCTAATCACATGTTTAAATATCTTTTAAACATCATTATGAACACATATAACATTTATTTAGGTAATCTCATAATTAACCCAAAAGTTATAAGATATTAAGCCGTCCACTCACCTTGAACTAGCGTTATGAAGTTCTACCCTTCTTGGTTGAACTCCGGTGACTTTTGGTCAACTCCGGCGACAACTCCGGCGACTTTTCCAACTTTGTGAAATCACTTGAAATACCCTCTACAAGTACCTAACAAGGTTTTATAATCATAAAACCCATATTAATACAAATAACCTCAAAAAGGTTATTTTCCGGTGAACCGGTTGTTTTGGCTCCTAAGTCCGTTCTTGGGCATAGAACCACCTTTCAACCCATAAATCCATACTTATAACATGTGGAACCATGCTAAAGGTCCTTAATATAGTATCTACTTCATATGGTAGGAGAAAAATAAAGGAAAAGTTATAATAAGGTTATTACCTTAGTTGTTCACACTTTTCCCAACTTTTTCCCTCTTTAACCTTCTTCCTTTGAGCACTAAAGCTTGAGCTCTAATTTGCAGCAATGGAGGTGAGTTTGAAGCTCCTTCTCTCTTCCTTGGATGGTGTGGTCGAGCTAATGGGGTGAGGGGGGTTGGAGTTGGCTCTTTTGTCTTGCTTGGACAATGAGTGAGGGAGAATGGGGTCCATGGGTGTACCTTTGATGCTCATCACCTCACTCTCTCCCCTTACAATTCAACCAGCCCTTTTCCTTTCCCATCCCAGCTCACAAAAACGTGGGGTGGCCCCCACTCATGTGGGAGGTCATCCCTTTGTGTCCCGGTGTGTACAATCGGTCCCGAAAGTTGTATTTTTCGGACTGTTTTAATCATATTTTATTTTATCGGGTAAAATAAAATATATTACGTGTCCTCAATCATAAAGACCCTTTGAAATAATATATATTCCAAAACTTTAATTTAGAAGTCTCCGAAATTCATTTTCGGGCTGTTATCTGTTAAATTGTCGGTATCGGTAATTGGGCTTCTTTTGACCAATCGGTCAACCTCAGGCCTTCCCATGGCCCAAATAAGATATCCACCACTATTTAAATATTATTTCGACCCATAAGAATAATTTATGTGATCTCGGGAATATCGGGCGGCCCCCTGCTCCCGGTGTGGGCCCCACGTGCAATTTATTATCACGCGAAAGAAATAACAAAAATTTACAACTTCATAAATTCATTAATCCTCTAATAAGGTTAAATACATTATTTACATAAAAGTAAATATATTTGGGGACGGTGTTACAGGGAAACCCCCCTAAGGAGTTAAGATTCATAAAGGGAAAGACTCTCTCGCGCGGGGGGGGGGGGGGGGGGGTGCGGATCAAATCCCGAAACCGGAGAACAAAAAGCGCGACCTGCATACACGAATGTCGTCCGAAAATCTATCTTCTAAAGATAACGTAAATTTATGTTCTTCCGGTACGTTCCTGTTTTAATTTTTTCTCCATGCATGTTGAACGTCTGCAGCAGACGTTACAACAATTAATTGCCAACGTCTATGAGCTTTTATGCCCAATGTTCACATGAACGTTTTGGACGAATCAATGCCAGCCATGCTGCACATTGATGTCCAACGTTCACAACATTAACACACACCAACAAAACTTTCCTATAAATGGCTACAGGTGGCTTGCAACAAAAATCACTCACACAAAAAACGAACTACACATTTCTTTAGCTCACAAAACGCCTCCAGCATTCTGAAAACCTTCCCTCTGTGTTCTTATTTTGTTCTCGTTCGTTGGAACTTTAGTTTGAGTGCTAAACTATTGTTCGAAGCCATCGTATCATGGGAAACGATCGTTGCAACGCTCCTAGAACCCCGGGAGGCAACGAATACGTTTTAAGGAAATCGTGCGTAGCACGAGCTTTGGCTTATTCTGCTTCATCTCATTTCTTGTTTTTCTTTAAGTCATTTTATTTAATTAATTTTTATTAATTAATTTTCTTTGTTTTTCAAAACACACCCAACATTGACTACATAGACAATAAATGAACATAGAGACAATACCTTGAAAGAAGAAACCCTTTAAGGGTGAATTTACTTGATCAAGAGAAATTGTTTGGGCAGTGTGATAGAAATACTTAGGAAAAAATCTTTAAGGCTGATGGATTACATTTTAAACACACCACATGTTAATTTCAAACATCCTTTAAAAAATATTTTTTCATTCGTAAAGTGAATTGTCTATGTCATAGACAATAAATTGTTTACGCTACAGACAATTTTTTGTGTATAAGTTTTGTCTGTGTACAGATAAATTTTATATATATTTTGTCTGTGAATTGTGTGAAATGTCTATGATACAGACAAAAGAAAGATGTATGTGACGTAGACAAAATAACTTGTCTATGACAGAAACAATTCACCTAAAAATGAAAAAAATGTTTACACACACAATTATTAACACTACTCATTTTGTCTGATATTAACCATAATAATTTAAATTATTAATATGATTTATTTTTTTCTAATATATAGTAAATTATATATGTAGTAAATCATGAAAAGATTCTTTATCATCTATCACTACTTTTTATGTGTTACATGTTCTAAGATGTACACGGTGTATACACGGCTCATTTTGTCTGTGTATAAAAAAGTGTTTTATAAAGTGAATTGAGTGTGACATCAACAAAAAAATTGTTTATGGCACAAATAACTTTTTGTCTGTTTCACAGGCAATTCACTTTAAAAACAAAAAATACATGCTCACAAACAACTTACAATATCCTTTTAGGTCAACTTACAATATGGATTAATAACACAAATTTCTTGTACAATATCCAAGTTCATTTTCACAACACAATACATACATTGAAGACATTAGCAACTCAAATTACACTATCATTCTAAATACTAGAACATTAACTTTATTGTATAGCTAGTTACAAAAATAAAATATTTTGTTATCTTGTATTCTAAATCTCTCATTCTTGACTTCCTCAATCCTTTTGCCATCATTTGGTTTATCACACACCTCTCTCAAAGGTTCATTATCTTGTCATGCAAATAGCATAAATGGTTCCTGTCAATCTTCAACATTTGTATGTTATACTGCAAAGAGCATAATAACAATAAAAAAACAAATTATA